CTCCCACGTATCTCCACGTACAACCAACCACAGTACACTTGCTCCGCATTCTCAAACACATCTACACAGTCTGACCTTGCCTTTGCTGTCTCTGACTGGAACCATCCAACCTCCACCTACTGAAACCCTCCCAGCCTGCCGGGGTTCCCCACCAATCCCACCTCCTCCATGAAACCATTCCTGACCCCTCAAACAGATGTTCCCTTGCCTGCCATTGAACCTCACACCATCGTGTCAGTCCTCCTTTCCAGTCTTTCCATCTGTACTCATCCTGTCTCCCTCCAGGGACTACAAGCACCCTAAGGGCAAACCATGGCTCACTCCTCTTTATCTCCGCTGCAGATGGAGTACAGCACTTCTACAAAGTGAGTAGTCATTGAATTAAGTGATGCCAACACAATCCTTCAGTGATCAAAATTCCATAACCTCCAGTAGCCGTTTTAAATCAGTTCATCATTTCAGAATAACTATTTTATTTAGTTAGGATTATAAACATATTGCAATCTACCATAGATAAAAGTCTGGAAGAGAAGAATCTGTTATATTTTATGCTAATTAATAATGCTAAGCAGTTAAAAGATTAAAAGTGGACACAAAAATAAAAAAATTTTTCTTATGATTAACTGTAACCAAAAGTTTTCTATTTAGGAAGATATCCAGCTAAATTTGGAAGACACCAAAATGCTGGACCTCAAACCTCAGGAAAATTGATCTAGTTAAGTATTTTAAGTGTTTATTTTTATTGGTAAGATTTTGATGCAATCAATGTTAATCTCTTTATGGAAAGGTGATGCAGACACACTAAAAATTCTACTTTCTCCTTTGTGGTGTTTTAAAACAGTCTTATTCCTGCATAATTTATAACAAGAATCTAGAAACACTGAGTCAGATTTCCCCAATGTCTATCATTAAAATGTGGAGGCAGAGAGTGGATTTGTATGGTTCAAATCATTTTTTTTAAGGAAGTATAAGTTATTAACTTGGGTATCTTGTCACCTCCTCTTTGAAGAAGCAAACACTGGTATCCAAATTTCAAATATTAAGTAAAGGGGCACCTGGATGGCTCAGTCAGTTGAGTGTCTGACTCTTGATTTTGGCTCAGGTCATGATCTCAGAGTTGTGAGATTGGGCTCTGCACTGAACATGGAACAGCTTACAAGTCTCTCTGTCTCTCTGTCTCTCTGTCTGTCTGTCTGTCTCTCTCTCTTTCTCCCCCTCTGCTCCTCTCCCCCGCTCGTGCTCTCTCTCTCACTCTCTCTCTCAAATAAAATTTTAAATTTTGGGGGCATCTGGGTGGCTCAGTTGGTTAAGCATCCAACTCTTGGTTTCAGCTCAACTCATGGTTTGTGAGTTTGAGCCCCGCATAGGGCTCCAAGCTGACATTGTCGAGCCTGCCTGAGATTCTCCCTCTCCTTCTCTCTCTGCCCCTCCCCTGCTCGCTCTCTCTGTCTCTCTCTCAAAATAAATAAATAAAATAAAATAAAAACAAATATGAAATAAGACCTGAAGGATGGAGCACCTGGGTGGCTCAGTTGGTTAAGTGCCCAACCTCACTCAGGTCATGATCTCACAGTTCATGGGTTCCAGACCTGCATCCAGACCAGCCTGAAGCCTGCTTCGGATTCTGTGTCTCCCTCTCTCTCTCTGCCCCTCACCTGCTTACATTCTGTCTCTCTCTCCCAAAAATAAATAAACATTCAAAAAAAATTTTTTTTTAAGACCTGAAGGAGCCCTCCTGCAGAAAGCTGGACAAGGGAAAAAAGAATCTGAGAATCACACTCAGACTTAACTCAAAATGAAATCTTAGCAACCATTCTTTAATTCAAGGCCTCAATGAGGGATCTCCCTTTCGTAACACAAACTGTGTCCACAGTGGAATGACTCCCAGAGATGTAATTTGTCCTTTTGAAAAGCAGATTAAATATTAGACTGCCATTTCCTATAGGTGATAGGTATTATATATTCTGGAGAAAATCACTAAGTACAAGATAAACAGGAATTAATCGTAAATATTCTATTAAACATGATTCCTACATCATTAACATCATGTGAACCATTTTTAGCAAAACATTTGCACTTTATACTCCCATTAAAACAGAATTCCTTTCTAAAAGGACAAAGTGCTTCCTGAAGTCCCAGTCCAGATACAATTAGAGAACCCAGCACAAGTGAAAGTAAAAATGAACCAGCTCTGTATCCCAATCAGGAGGTTTAGCTGCAGAAGCGAGATCAGTCATCACAATGAAGGCATAGGATGAAAAAGCTGGGAATGTATCAGAAACACTGACAGAAAATCAGAAAGGAAACAGATTTTATAAACCAACTACCCATCACTGCTAAAAGACTCCTCTTACTATTTTTCTTTAAAAGAAAATATCCTCATCTATCATATTGAGCATAGAGAAGACGGAGAGGAGAAATCCCTAGCAGTACAAGATGATCCACAATAAAATAGTATATAGATTCAGTTTTGAAAAACAATCTTAGAATTCCATAACCACTTTTTCCACTTTTGAACACACATGCCTAAGTGCCCTTTCCCATGGAAGCAGGCCCTGAGTCAAAGATTCAAGTTCAAGCAGTTTATTGGGGAGGTTCAGAAAAAGCTGTTCAGGAGTGCCCAGGACACAAGAGTCGCCTACAAGGGATGTAGAAATATACCTCAGAACTGTCTCACCCATCAAGTAGGGAAGCTGGGGTGTTCATCAGCCAGTGGTTAAGACTGCTGTGGGGAGGGGGAGACCTGGGTGGCTTAGCCAGTTAAGTGCCCGACGTGGACTCTGGTCATGATCTCGTGATTCATGAGTTGAAGCCCGACATCATGCTCTCTGCTGTCAGTGTGGAGCCCGCTTCAGATCCTCTGTCCCCTCTCTCTGCCCCTCCCCCACCCTCTCAAACATAAATAAACATTGGGGGGCGGGGGGAGAGGCTGCTGTGTGGGGAGTGGGAGAGTGTTAATTCCCTGGCACTTGATACCAGACTCAAGTAGGAGCCAAGAGGTTTCCCAGCCCACAAAGAAAATCCTCAGGCAAGAAAGACCTGCAGACCTTCAGGAAGGTACCAGCAGCCAGCAGGCCTCTGCCACAAAGACGGTAAGGTCCCAGAGGGAGATGGGACATGAACATCATTGTCTACACTACATCCTCCAAAGGAACGCCATCCCCCTCTCCAGTCATATCTGTTGTTGGTGTTTGATATCAGTCTTCTCTTCCTTTTCTCTATTATCCAAGACAGCATATATTTCACATTTAAACATCTACCCCTAAGCTATAAGATATACAATCTTAGCTTACCTATGTCTTTATTTTCCCTTTGACTCTACTTTATATTCTTTATAAATTAAGACTCTAAGTTGGGGCACCTGGGTGGCTCAGTCAATCAAGTGTCCAACTCTCGATTCCGGCTCATGTCATGATCTCACAGTTTTGTAAGATCAAGCCCTGGGGGCTCAGTGCTGACAGCATGGAGCCTGCTTGGGATTCTCTCCATCCCTCTCTCTCTGCCATTCCCCTGTTCAAATGCTCTCTCTCTCTCTCTCAAATAAATAAATATTTTTTTAAAAGACTCTGTCTATTCTTGTGTTGTAAATTCTTTAATATCAGTCTTGCTCTCTATCAAGTTATAAAAAAAATTACTCCTTTGGTAATAGGCAACAGGATCCATAATACATCCATGAAAATGATGGGTTGGCCCACATGATAAGAGCTCAGACCACACTAGCATCCAAAGAATCCTCGATGGTGTTAGAGCAGAGTAATTTTTGCAGTTCCAAAAGTACACACTGTCACAAAATAATTGCAGGGGGAAGGGGAGTAGAGGAGGCAGGTCTAAAACTTAACTGGGAAGGACCATTTTCAAAGAAATGTGACTTCACTTGTTTTGCAAAAATATGGTCTTAAATGATCTAACTATCATTTTTCTTTGACTGCAGGGACTATTCCATAATATATTAGTAACTTCCTTCTAGGCCTAAAAAGTTCCTCTTTGACTTTAGTGTGTATATAATCAAAGTGAGAGGATAATGTGCCTAGGTAAATTTTACCTAAAACAATCTTCACTGATGTAAGCACTTGGTAAATCCTATGCTTCATAATTTCAAGAAGAAAAAAAAAATCAACTCAGGGATTAAAAGGCTGAAATTAATGGGAATGTGGTATTATAGTTTTCTTGACTCAGAGGGACTTACTGTCACTCAACAGATAGACTGAACACTGAACAAATATTGCCTGGTTAAAATTAATTTGTTTGGGTTTGAGATTGCCTAATCTAGTCTTTAATTTTAAGACAAATAAAAATGAAAAAATAGACCCGTACACATCTCTGAAACTTTCTGGATGTTTTTACACTGATGTTTAGAGGCCCATTCTATGGCCACTTACAAGCATCTGACAGAGCCACTGTTAAATAAGATTGCTACCCAGTATTAGATTCTACTTTTAGGTAAGGATCAGGCCACACATCACCAAACCCACCGTTCCTCTGGAAAAAAAACATTCATCATACAATGCAGTATTTTAAAAACCAGACATCTCTACTTACAGTAAATGACATACATAAATATCTGTATCTTTAGGGTCTATATCAGTGCTTCTCAAACAATCTGTGATGAAGAACTATTTTTGAATTGATGTTTCCAGGCTGTCATATACTGATACTTTTGCAAAATATATTAAAGATGAACTACAAGAAAATAAAATGTTTACCATACAAAATGCAAACTAAGTTTGTTATCTTTATTAGATTCAACAGGCATAAAGTTATTGTCAAATATCTTTAAACGTTTCTCAACACTTACTCAAACTTTCAGTACTTATCACAAGCCAGTAGCAGTTGGTGGGTAGCACTGGCCTTGGACCACAGTTTGAGTAGCACTGATCTAAAATACCATGCACTAAATAAATAAATAAATGAATAAATAAATAAATAAATAAACACACACAGATAAAAATAAGATAAAATAAAATAACTGCACACATATTTTCTCAAAAGATATACTTTACCTCTGACATTCTTTCCAAATCCCATAGAAGAAACTTTTTTGTCCACTTGTTCACTATTGTTTGATTTCTCCTTCATAACGTCATCGTCACTAACGACATCAGCAGAAAATTTTTTCTTTTTCTTTTTCTTGTGTCGAGGAGGAAGCTTTTTTGGAAAAGTAAACATTGGGAATATCACAAGAAACATTGCAATGGCACAAAGGAGGAATCCACTCCACCTAAAAAATTGGGAGATGTGAATAGTATTTATGGCCTTTGTATTATGAGTGAGAACAAATTAGCAAAGTAGAAGTTCATGGTAATAAAATTCTCCAGGGAAAATTTTTTACCTTCAACAACTGTAAAGCAATAGGAAGTTGGACAAACTAAGAAAGCACAGGAGTCCTCCCTTTCTATGTTATAAATGAGAAATCTACCCAATAATTATACTAGTATGATAATGAACGTTATAATTAGCAACCTGACTAGAATTTTATTCAAATATTTGTTAGTTCTGCTATAATGTGCATTTTACAATAAATCAAGAAATAAAAAATAAATCAATAACTCATAAGTATAATAAGAAAATAACACAGACTCTCTAAGCATGCTTTGTGGACCAAAATAGACACATTTTTCTTACAGAAAACCATCCTTACCTCATGTGAAATGTATTTTAAATTGCTAATGGCATTCAAATATTTTTCTGCAAGAATTTCAGAATATATTGAGCCTCTTAGCTGGCCCTTACCATAGTTAATCATGAGGGCCACCGAAGACACTTATGTTTGATCACTGCCTTCAAGAACTTACCTAGTTGTAAAGGAGCTAAAAATATAAGAAACAATGTCCAAGGAATGCACGAATGTATACAGTTGTTAGATCATGTGGTATAGACTATGAATGCTATAAACATTCAGATAAAGGAAATGTGTGTTAGAAACAGACACAGGAGAAGCAGACCTTGGAGAAGCAGACCTTGAGCTATGTAGAATTGAGAGTCTGTCATTGAACTCATCTGAGGTTGCCATGCTGCAAAGAGCAGAAAGCAAATGTAGAGAGTGGAACTCAAATTCTAGTTAAGGCCTTGGGCTTCTTGCTTGCAAAATTCCTCAGGCGCAATCTCTCAGTCCCCTGTCAACCCTTTCTTAGCAAAGCAAATAGAGGCTTCTGATCCTACCTAACAGGGTTGCCACTTTCTTACATATTGACTCCTTGCCTCTAATCTCTGTCCTTAAAGCTTTCAGGTTCTTAATGTTCAGACTCTGACTTCTGTATCAGCACATTCCTATAGTTGCAACCTGGATGCAAGCAGCATTCTAAGCATCGGTGTTGAAATCAACATTAATCATCATCCATTAAGAATATTAATCATCCATTAAGAATGTAGATCGGGGCATCTGAGTGGCTCAGTCGGTTAAGCGTCTGATTCTTGATTTCGGCTCAGGGCATGATCTCATGGTTTGTGAGATCAAACCCCACGCTGAGCTCTGCACTGACAGGGCAGAACCTGCTTGAGATTCTCCCTCTCCCTCTCTCTCTGCCCCTCCCCTGCTTGTGCTCCCTCTCTCTCTCAAAATAAATAAATAAACATTAAAAATATATATATTAAAAAAAGAATACAGATCAATAGAAAAGTAAAAATTCATTCAAAAATAGCGTTTCTATTAAAGTACTGTTATCAGCTGCTACAAAGGTCACACTTGTGCTGACAGAATAATTCCAAATGATTCCATAAACCAGTCATTAATAATCCAGTGTGCTATTTTCAAAGATACTTAAAGTTATATCAAATAAAGATTTATAAACAATCAGAAAAAAAAGGCTTTATTTTGAGAAGATTGCTCAGAGCAGACTTCTAGCAATTTCAATTATTCAGTGTACAATCAAGAACCCATTGCCTGACACAGATTAGGTACTGAAAATCCTGAATAAGTAACATTGAATGAGATAGGTTTTAAAAAATAAAGTCATCTGTCTACAGAGAACATGGCTACGATCCTACCTGGCCCTGTAGTACCTCACTGCTTATGGGGCCTTTGCTGATCCGTCCCTCCTTATCTACCACCTTTCTGCACATACTACATTCAAGTCCCTTGAACTCCCTCAGTTCCCTAGACCAGAACAGGACAGGTAGCACAACATAAGGGACAGTTCTAGAGCTGTGGCTTCAGACAAACATGAGTTTTGTCTTGTCTTTACCACTTACTAGCTCTAAGATCCTGGGGAAATTATTTCACTTTTCCAAACCAGCTTTCTCATCTAAAAGAAGAATACTACTAACTGCTTTTTGACATCATCAGAATTAATAAGATAATGCATACGGTAGACCTAAAAAAAATGCCTGCCCCCAAATCAGCAATCAATTCAAAGTAGCTAGTTTTGTTTTTGTTATGTAGATCTGTATTCAGCAACACTACCCACCTCCACGCAGAGATATCGAATGAAAATTGTATGCAAACATCTAAGATAGACTTATAGTTGGGGCACCTGGGTGGCCACAGCCAGTTAAGCATCCAACTCTGGATTTCAACTCAGGTCACAGTCTCATGGTTTGTGAGACGGAGCCGCGTTAGGCTCTGCACTGACAGCACAGAGCCTGCTTGGGATTCTCTCTCTCTTTTTCTCTCTGCCCCTCCCCTGCTTGTGCTCTCTCTCTCTCAAATAAATAAATAAACATTTTAAAAAAATACACTTATAGTAGTCCAGAGTAAGAGTAAATAACAGAAGGAAGGGAAAAATTATAGCAAATAAACAAAAATAATATAAAAATAGTATAAAAGTTTGGGGTCTTTTCAAAGCAGAGCAAGCTGGCCCATATTCTTCAATGGTCTTCAGTAGCATTGACAAAATGCATGATCTAATCACAGAGCCAAAGAAGACCCCAAGAAAAGCTGAGGAAGACAGAAAGTATGTGCTATATGTTAGCAAAAGACCATCAGTAAGAGCTAAAACTGAGAAACCAGAGTCCCTAAGTCTCTTTCATGAAGCATTACTCAGAGACGACTCACAAAGTGGAGCCAGTGAAGTATATTGACTAAGAGCTTCGCCTTGGACTGTTTCTTATCCCAGCTCTCACTGCCTCCAAGGCTTTGGGCAAGTTATTCAAATCACTGTGCGTCAATTTCCTCATCTGTAAAGTGGGCATTATATTAGTGACTACATATGGTTGTTGTGTATGTAGGCCTAAATATGAGGCTTAAACAAAAACGTCTGTGAAGCACTTAGTACAATTCTTGACACACAGTCATCACCCCATAAACATTAGCATTATTCATGCCTTCCTTCACTCTCTCAGTACATAGTTATTGAAAAATCCATCATTACTACTAGGCATTGGATTAAATAACATTGTATCAAATACCTCGCTTCTGGTCAAGGTAAAAGTCTATTATAAACTAAGCTACTTGATAAATAAAATTCAATTTTTAAAGAGATCTTTATTATACAGTTTTATATTGACAACTTTTATCATGTATACAACTAATATTGGACCATTAAAATAAATAGGGGCTCTTGGGTGGCTCACCCAGGTAAGCGTCCGACTTTGGCTCGGGTCATGATCTCGCGGATCATGAGTTGGGACCCTCTGTCAGGCTTTGTGCTGACAGCTCAGAGCCTAGAGTCTGCTTCAGATTCTGTGTCTCCCACCCACTCTCTCTCTTCCCCTCCCCTACTCATGCTCTCTCTCTCTCTCTCTCTCTCTCTCTCTCTCTCTCAAAACTAAATAAAAACATTCTTTAAAAATTTTGTAATAAAATAAATAAAAGTTCCTGAACATTTATTAAATTCAAAGAACTGAAAAATAGCTAATACAAACCATGTAACAAGAACTATTCTTTTTTCTCTTTTTTAAAAAAAATTTTTAATGTTTACTTATTTTTGAGAGATTGAGAGCGGAGGAGAGGCAGAGAGACAGGGAGACACGGAATCTGAAGCAGGCTCCAGGCTCCTCATTGTTAGCACAGAGCTGGACATGGGGCCTGACCCCTGGAACGCAAGATCATGACCTGAGCCAAAGTCAGATGCTTAACCAATTGAGCCACCCAGGCACCCATAGCAAGAATTATTTAAAGCTCCACAGATACAGACCCTTCTATTCCCCATAACAACCCTATGAAGTAGCTACTGCAATTACTTCTATTTTATGGCATTTTTTAAGACCAACAACTGAGGGGCACCTGGGGGACTCAGTCCACTGAGTGTCCAACCTCAGCTCAGGTCTTGATCTTGTGGTTCGTGAGTCTGAGCCCTGCGTCAGGCTCGCTGCTGTCAGTGCAGAGCCTGCTTGCGATCCTCTGTCCCCCTCTCTCTCTGCCCTTCCCCTGCTTGTGCTCTCTCTCTCAAAAATAAATAAAACATTTTTTAAAATTTTTAATAAATAAAAATTAAAAAATTAAACCAACAACTGAGGCACAGAGAAGTTAAGTAACTTCCTCCAAGGTCACACAGCTATTAGGTGGCAGACTAAGATTTAAACCCAGGAGAATATGGCTTCAGAGTCTGCACTCTTAATCACTCTACTTTGCTACCAATTGGAGTGATGTCTACTAGAAAACTTTAAAAAGTCAGTATATGGGGCACATGGGTGGCTCAGTCGATTAAGTGTCTGACTTCAGCTCAGGTCATGATCCCACAGTTCATGAGTTCGAGGCCTATGTTGGGCTCTGTGTTGACAGCTCAGAGCCTGGAGCCTACTTCAGATTCTGTGTCTCCCTCCCTCTCTGCTCCTCCCCTGCTCATTCTTTGTCTCTCTCTCTCTCTCTCTCAAAAATAAATAAACATTAAAAAATGAAATGAAATGAAATGAAATGAAATGAAATGAAATGAAATGAAATGAAATGAAATGAAATGAAATGAAAAATTAAAAGTCAGCATAAAGTACTTATGAGCCTGAAGCTCGTATCTCTTTCCTTCTCCCTGCCCCCAATTTGGTCCTCTTCATCTTTCCCCCTCCCTCTAGATGTTCCCTTTGTTGACATGCTCTTTTCACAGACATCTAAATAGAACACAAAATATACATTGAATGTTCATAAACATATTTTAATAATCCACTTTTCCGAGAATAAAAAAAAAAATCCTTACTCTGATTTATTTCAGAACTGTAAAGAAAACAGTAGTCGAGACCAAAAATTTCACTATTGGTTAAAAACTTAAAACTCCTGTGTTATTCCCCTAATGCTGACAAGGGAACTTCCTTTTGTATGATTTAAAAATTCTACCAGTCCAAGTTCATCTAGATCTTAGCACATCCATCTTCAAAGAGCATTACTTATGAAAAGAGAAGTGTTATGTAACTTAATTGATATTTCTTAACTGCTTTGAAAATAGACAGTGTTCAGCATTATTCTCATGTACTTAAGAGTTATGAGATTATCTTATAATGAAATGCATAGGTAACAAAAATGCTCTAAGAAACTCTTTGGAAAGTAATCAGTTGACACTAATTTCTAATAGTGAACTATTCTCTTTATTATAAAATGAGCATTTCTTGTCAGTGTATACCTATTACTAATCCATGTTAAATGAACTCAGGAAGCCAGTACTTTTTGGTTGGTGCTTGCTATCATGAAGAAATAACTTATGTGCAAGTTGAGGACAATGAAGAACTCGAACACAGTCCTGGCTGTGTGGATGAATAACCTAACATCCAAAGTTGGAGTTCTCATTCTAAGTCCTCAAGATTACTTATTTAGCAAGACAATTAAGGGCTACAAGTGAGAGAACAGCTAAATCTCTAGCACTCGTTGGAAAAACAATTACTGAGTGAAAAGATTCACTAACAGTGTGACAATGGAAAAGAGGGGGCTGGAGTTTGGGGCAGTTGGGGAGGGCTGACAAAGCAGAAACGCAGATATAATAAGGAAGTGGGAGGAAAATATTTTTTTAAAAGGCACAGCAAAGATAATGAAAGCTAGGACACAGCAAAGATAATGAAAGCTAGGACACAGGAAAGCCCCAACACAGCCACCTTCTCCTCCTCCACTCTGCTATTTATAGCAGAAAATGCCTCAACCCTAAAGAAGGATTGGATCAAGCCACTGTTCCCAAGCCCTCAGCACTAGTTTCCCATTGCTGCTATAACTACCCCACCCTTAGGGTTTAAAACTACTTAAACGTGGTATCTTATAGTTCTGGCGATCAACAGTCTCAAGTGGGCTGACAAGGCTGCATTCCTTTCGGAGGCTCTAGGGGAAAAAACCTATTTCCTTGGGTTTCGTAGCTTCTAGAGTCTGAGTGTGTTCCTTGGCTCATAGAATCTTCCTCCATCTCCAAAGAATGTGGCTCCAACCTCTGCTTCAATCACCATATATTGTCTCACTCTCACCCTCCTGTCTGCCTCTTACCCTTATAGGGACCCCTGTGATTACACAGGGCCCATTCCTGTCATGAGGATAACTTCTCTGTCCCAAGACCCCTTAATCACATCTGCAAAGTGTCTTGCCATATAAGCCAACACATCCATAGGCTCTGGAGATTAGGACATGGATATCTCTGGAGGATTAACTATTCTGCCTTCCACCCTGTCCTGGGTGACTTTCAGCTGTTTTTCATATTCCCTTGGGGGAAATTATTTTAACTCTAAGAGTACCACAACGTGAACTATCATTAATAATAAGTGAAATAGGGGCGCCTGGGTGGCTCAGTCAGTTAAGCATCCAACTTTGGCTCAAGTCATGATCTCACAGTTTGTGGGTTCAAGCCCCACATCAGGCTCTGTGCTGATAGCTCAGAGCCTGGAGCCTGCTTCAGATTCTGTGTCTCCCTCTCTCTCTCTGCCCCTCCCCTGCTCATGCTCTGTCTCTGTCTCAAAAATAAATAGAAACATTAAAAAAAATTATAAAAAAATAATAATAAGTGAAATGAAAAATTTAGTAAACAATTCTTACCAGTTTCCAATGAAACGAGGGTCATTCTGATCAAGGTTAACAGGATTTCTGGGATCGACATAAAACCCAATAAGAAGTCCACCTAATAAATATCCCACTGCAGGACCAAGTGCTCCCATGACATACATGATGGCTGAGAAGACAGAAGGGGAAACATGAAATACAGCAACGTGTTATTTAAATTTCAAGAGCTGTCTAATTTCAGTCATTCCATTTATATGTCACAGTTAAACCCAGTTAACAGCATCCAAAAACAAAGAACTTTAGAGATTGTGCCTCTATTTATATTTGGGTTTCAAATCATGCCCTTTATTTAGCTGCTGCCTGTTGTCCTTTTAGAACATCAGAATCATCTGGACAGCTTTTCGGTTGCTTTTGTTTGGTTTTTTTAATGTAAGTGCTCAGCCCCACCAAATTTAAATTTCTGAAAGTGCTAGTTAATGAGCAGTCACTGGATAACCAAGAGAAGATGAAACGTAGTGTCAAGATTAAAAAATAAATAAATAAAAATAAATAAATAAATACAAGGTCATTTCAAGATAAGAAGGAAAAAAAAGTAGAAGTCACTTGTCACAGCTGGAAGATTCTAACAGAACGAGTGAACCAAGGCCAGATTCTGCCATGAAGCTGGATTTAATTGAATTGGCAAAGGTGCTCAAGCCCCCTCAAATCATGAATATTTTTCAAACCACCACTTTAGAATCAAAGAAGAGCTTCCAATGCATTTGGTTTATTGTTAATTGAGGAACCTTACTTAAAGATTCATAAATCTCATTAAATAGCATGAGTGAGAAGGTCCAAATGGATAGCAGGAACCCACAGCTGAATGAAAAAATAACTTTTTAAAGCACATGACCAAAACAGGAGGGGAAGGGGTTCTGTCAGTAGATCAGAAAGGTTTTCATTCTATCCAAAAAACAATTTGGCCATCAAAATGGGCTTAGAGCAAAACATAACAATAAATTAGGGGTGCCTGGGTGGCTCAGTCGGTTGAGTGTCTGACTTCGGCTCAGGTAGTGATCTCGCAGCTGACGAGTTCAAGCCCTGCAACGGGCTCTGTGCTGACAGCTTGGAGCCTGGAGCCTGCTTCACATTGTGTCTCCCTCGCTCTCTGCCCCTTCCCTGCTCATGCTCTGTCTCTCTCTGTCTCAAAAACAAATAAACATTAGAAAAAAATAACAATAAATTCACTGTCATGCCTTTATATTGTTTTGACTGCTGTGATTTCAAATAAAAAAATAATTTTGTCAATTTTTAAATTTTGAGGTAGGATATGAAATTCCTTGAAAATCGTAGAAAAATCTAGCCACACATTCCAAACCCATTTTTTTTTCCTCCTAAAATTTAGTTATTTGGGGAGAAATCTATAAACACTTTTAAGATACTCTTGGGTGCAAGGCATGATAAACTCAGGTGTTGAGGCACCTGGGTGGCTCATTGGTTAAGCGTCCGACTTTGGCTCAGGTCATGATTTCACGGTTCTTGAGTTCAAGCCGTGTGTCGGGCTCTGTGCTGACAGTTCAGAGCCTGGAGCCTGCTTCAGATTCTGTATCTCCCTCTCTCCTCTCCCTCTGCCCCTCCCCTGCTCATTCTCTCTCTCTCTCTCTCTCTCTCTAGAATAAACCTCAAAAAAAAAAACCCTCAGGTGTTACATATTTCTCATTTCTGTTGCCATCATGCATTTAAGCTACTGAATAAATAACTAGTTTCCATACCCTTTAAATAGCACCATATTGGGGTGGCTCAGTTGGTCAAGCATCCAACTTCAGCTCAGGTCATGATCTCACAGTTCATGAGTTCAAGCCCCACGTCGGGCTCTGTGCTCATAGCTCAGAGCCTGGAGTTTCAGATTCTGTGTCTCCCTCTCTCTCTGCCCCATCCCCACTCATGCTCTGTCTCTCTCTGTCTTAAAAATAAATAAAACATTAAAAAAATAAGAAATAAAAAAATAAATATTACCATATTTACCAAAAAGGAAATTTGACTAATCAGACTAGCTCCACCTTACTTTATCACCTGCACCTAAATAAACTTTGAATAAACTTGTACCTCCTGTTACTTATCACTACAGACAGTAATTTAACATCTGCTCCCATTTTTCACACTATTTCATAAGAGAAAGTGCCGTGTTTATTTTACAGAATCGTCTGCTTGTAACAAAAACCTTAGGTGCTTCGACTTCTCCATCTGTGTTTGGAAATGGAGAATGGAAGCACAGCCACAAGTAACTGGTATTCCTTTGGAAGCATACTTTTAATAAAACAAAATTAGAATTTTGATAAATATCTTGTTAACCTCTCTGTTTATAGCCTGAAACGGAACTCGAGAATAAAAAATGCTTTTTCAGTTTTACCCATATGCATATGAAGATAAAATTTATGTTTACACCTCCAGGCAAATCCATTTACAACTTAAAACTGTAATGAGGCCAAAATGTGACATGAATCATCTTCCCAAAATAGTTCTTCTGGCGTGAAAGAGACTGTCTTACAAACACAGACAGGGAAAAGGGTATTTCCGCCATCCTGTTTATGCCTGGGGCACTTGAGTGCAGCATCTCGGAATGCCAAGCAGCACGGTGCAGGATGTGTGCTGGCAAGACCTCGCAATTACATGGCGAATGGAACACCAATTAAATAACATCTCCAAAAAAACTTAACTACTCTTTAACTTCTCTTAAATATTTATTTTTGAGAGAGAGAGAGAGAGAGAGTGCACGCGCGCACACACACATACACACACACACACACACACACACACAAGGGGGGAAGGGGCAGAGAGAGAGAAAGACACACAATCCGAAGCAGCCTCCAGGCTCTCAACTGTCGGCACAGAGCCCAACGTGGGGCTCGAACTCACGAACCGTGAGATCATGACCCGAGCCGAAGTCGGAGGCTTAACCGACTGAGCCACCCGGGAGCCCAAACTTAACTACTTTTTCAAATACAGATAAAACTTTTTAAAATTCAGCTATGTAATCAGAAAAAGTTTATTTGTAATATCTAGCAAACACTTAGGCCAACTGAATCATTTACACTAACATATATATACACATATATCTATATAATTGTATTACACATTATGCTCTCTATAATAGTGTCGTGACTATACTATATATCTATAAATCAATAAATATATAACACTATAGATAGAGATAGAGATATATAATAACTTGTTGACATGGTCCTATTTAGTAAATAAATCCTTCTGGCCACTGAGCTAACATTTATTAATTGATTAACCAGTAGAACTCATTCAGAGCTTATTAGAGGGGCAAATTGTTGACACAAATTCGTATCACTCACCCTCCCAGTCAAAAATTCTCAATCGCCCCCACCCACCAACCACCACTGCTTGAAGAAAGTCCAAACTGCTCTGGAGTTCAAGGGTGGGACGAGTTGGCCTCCTCCTGCCATTTTACTCTTCAAACCTACCGACTGCACTCAGGGCTCCAGGCAGACTGACTCTCAGACAGACCTGGGCAGAGCCACCTCTCTTCCCTTGAAGACCCACCGAGCCCCCAGGCTTCCCTGTCTGTCTGAATCCTACCTGTTCTTCAAGGCCTAACCAAGTCCAGTACTGCCTGTCCTCCCCTGAGTGGTCTCTGTCTCCTCAGAGACCTCCTCCTCTGTCTATTCCAGCGGCCTCCACACTTTTTCATCAGCCATCTCTATTGGTAAGAGTTTTTAAACATTTACCACAGGGGTGCCTGGGTGACTCAGTGGGTTAAGCGCCAGACTCTAGATTTCAGTTCAGATCATCACCTCACAGTTCGTGAGATCAAGACCTGTGTCAGGTGGGCTCTATGCTGACAGCATGGAACGTGCTTGGGATTCTCTCTCTCCCTCTCTCTCTCTCTGCCTCTCCCCTGCTTGTGCTCTCTCTCTCTCTCTCAAAATAAATAAATAAACATTAAAAAAAAAAAGCTTCAAAAATGAACTATTGGGACCTCATCAAAATAAAAAGCTTCTGCACAGCAAAGGAAACAATCAGCAAAACTAAAAGGCAACAAATGGAATGGGAGAAGATTTTTGCAAACGATATATCAGATAAAGGGTTAGTATCCAAAATCCATATAGAACTTATATGGAACTTATATAGAACTTATAACTCAACACCCAAAAAACAAATAATCCAGTGAAGAAATGGGCAAAAGACATGAATAGACACTTCTCCAAAGAAGACATCCAGATGGCCAACCGACACATGAAAAAATGCTCAACATCACTCACCATCAGGGAAATACAAATCAAAACCACAATGAGATACCACCTCACACCTGTCAGAATGGCTAACATTAACAACTCAGGCAACAACAGTTATTGGTGAGGATGCAGAGAAAGAGGATCTCTTCTGCACTGCTGGTGGGAAGGCAAACTGGTGCAGCCACTCTGGAAAACAGTACAGAGGTTCCTCAAAAAATTAAAAATAGAATTACCCTACAACCCAGCAATTGCACTACTAGGCATTTATCCAAGGG